GAGAAGAAACATCAAAGCGTAGAAGGAACAGAAAATAGAGACAACGACGTCTCAAATTCTAAAATTTGAGACGTCGTCCTCTCTATTTTCGCCCCTTCTACGTTTTGATGTTTCTTCTCTACCCCACTCTCAGGATAATTCAACATGGTTGATATTCACCAGCTCGCCTGCACCCTTACGATATTTTCTCTATTTGGTTCAGAAAACGATTACGCGACTCTGCAACATTAATACGGCAGTGTAATGACACCCCAGTCAATCGTATTTCTCCAAATACAGCAAACCTCGATGTGTCAGTGGCTTTTTAACAAACTAACTGGGGAAATACAAGCGCGAGCCTCCTTGTGTTTTATCACGCCTCGGTAGTACAGAAACTCCTGTAGCGGAAGCACCAGTGAAAAACAGTCACTATAGCGCTCGCAGCCTTTCTGGTCTGTTCTTGTCAAGGTGCTACAAAATATAGCCATTGATGTCAAAGGCGGACTGCAAAGAGTCAACGACATAGACGCCTCTGCTCTCGTGTAGGCAGGTCTTGAACGCCAATCAGAGCATTGCAAACGCAGTCTTCATATCTTTCAGATTGCCGCAGCGCTTCTTTTCGCACGTGCTTATTTCGTCTAAAGTAACAAAAATCCATGCGCCAAGCTACCAACGAATTCCGCCCTCGGAGTAACTTTTTGTCTTAAAAAAAATACAGAAATACCTTTGTTAGTATTATTATATAGCTACGAACTATTTGGTAGAGCTAAGCATCTTTGTAGATTTAGGAAACCTCTAGGGGGGCTTTAAAAACATGTGGTTTTGATTTAATTAAATGAAAAATGATGGAGAGTTCATTACTGATCTAACGCACTACAACTCGGCAGCACTCGGGAAGAAAGCTCCCACTGCCGACTCAGGGATTAAAAGTTAAAATCCCACTCCTACCTCCTGCGATACGGACTGGAATAGTACCAACGCACATTGTTGTAATTACTACCGTAATCCGTTTTCTCCACCATAGGTTAGCAGTTGCCTTAGATTAGACAAATGTCCTCTCCACAGATGAAATCCCTTAAGCTTTCTGCAGGGCAGACTAACTTGCAAGGAAGGAACCAAGAAAGCAACTCAGCAAATGACGATGCTCACATATGGTTACATCTGGACTACTCGATATGCACCTGGGCAATTTGCACGACAAATATCATAATTCGCAACTTTCAGCAATGGTGGTACCGCGGTGTAAGAATCGCGCTCCCTAGCTCCTGGATAATCGACTTCAAAATAAAGGTGCTTGCCAATACCTTCCTGACGTGAAAAAAAAATAAACTAAGGCTCTAATACTGCTCGTATATAGCAGAACTAGTATTACTCACGCGTCGCAGACCTAGCCTCGTACTGTTGTTCTACGACGGTCATCCAGATGACAGCCATTTTGATAGGCAACAGTGCGCCCACTATAGGTCGTGAAAGTTGCGAATTATTTTCCCGGCGCAAATTTAGTTTTGTTTTGTCTAATCGTACTCTGTGCTCCGTCATTCGTTAGAGCCCCGGTATCCTTGGCCTTGAGTGGCTGTCCCAGGTAGAAAAAATTAGACCTGTCTTTTGTTTTTTTTCTATGTGGCAGTATATTTACGCCAGGCAAGAAGATCGAAAGTTCCCGCCCTCGCCCATGTACAGAAATATAATTTGCTTTAAAGTCACAATCAAGCGCGTCCGAACCGGCACTTAATACGTATTCGTATGCCGGAACATTTCTAGATGTCCGTTTTCGGTTCTGACGTCGCAGCCCCCTTTTTACGTGTTCCGGCTCCAGTATTTGGAGTTCAAATATTTTAACTTTTACTGTTGCCCAAATTGTGATGTAGGAGACCGTACTGAGAGAGTAGTCAATGATGGAGCGCGCTTCCTTCCCGCTGCTGATCACGTGCTCTTTGCGTGCTTGACAAACGAACTCTCTCCCCGACGCCGGCAATGCCGGTATATGGCCGAATGCGGGGTCTGCGCAGGGTCGACCGAGAGCGCTACTGCCGGTTTCTCGCATTGATTTTTCTGCGGCGGGTTACGTTTCTCCCGTCGCAAATTTATGCCGGTATTCGTTTTTGTGGGTGGCATAGTTTCGGTTTAATGATATGCGAATTCGCCCGTTTCGCCGACGAGTGTTCAACATTCCAGCGCTTGATCGAGCCGAGCGTGTAGACGAGATGCCCGTCGATACCGGAAAAAGGTTTGTCGGCGCCGCTTCTTTTAAGTGGCGTCGCAAACTCATGGTGGTGTGCGCTTCCCTCGAGGTAGTTTACTTGGCGAGGCGCAAAAAGGCCGTGCTTAGCACGTGCTCGAGTGACGCAACCACCGTGCTGCCTCAACGAACTCCGTCTACTCCTCTGCTGGTATTATTAAATGAAGGACGCCTAGTGAAACGTCACCTTCAAAAAATATTTATTTGACTGTGAAATGTGGTGTTCATGCCAAATCTCGTAGTTTACGATCAGGCGCGTGTTAAATCAGGTAAGCTATGATTGCCTCGTCCTACCATTGTCGCGCATTGAGGCTTCGTGAGACAAAGTTACAGTTGTGCCCTGCCGTTACCCTTTCAGTTTCGACGACACGAAGTAGAAACTTTTTCGTCCCTCTTCTCTGTTTCATCCGAAGTGTTGAAGATACTTCTGGCGCCCCGCGAAAATGTCGCTCCGCTCTATCGACACCGAGCTTCACGCCTGGAACCGATCGACGTTGCCGATGTCGCCACGTCGCGGAACAGACGACGCGTTATTTTCTCGACAGCGGAGGCATTCGTTAGGGGCCCCATAACAAACGTGACCGGGAAGTACCTCCGCCAGCCTCCGCGGCGTTACGTATCCCCTGCGTACTTCGTACGTATTCTGAATACGCTCATGTATTCCGTATGGCCGTCCAAAACAAAACCTAAAATTTCGCTCCGTACACGTGCTCAAGTTCAATTTTTCTTTTTTACCGTGTTTCGGTGTAAGCAATTGGCAATACGTGTCGGTTTGGACCGCGGATTATATGTACGTTTCAAAAGTGTCCGCGCCCATGTAAATACGTTCTGGGAACGTGCTGTCCGAGGCGAAAATCTAGCGGTTCTCGGTGGCGCAGTGGCTCATTTGCACATTGTGAATGTCTTGCTGCCAATGAGTGGGAGCCACACTTTTGATTCCTTGTTTATTGATCGAACGTTTCACTGGTGCGATAAGGGGTATTCAGCCGCTGGATTCTTTCGGGAAGAGATATGCTTGAGGTCAGTGATCAGCGAAACCGGCGGAACTTCTTCCAAGACTCCAGCATTCGCATGAATAGTGGGGCGCCGAGGGGTGTCAGTCTTATCAGACACATTCAGCGGTTCCGCTAAATGTGTCTCACGAAAATAGAAAAATGGAGGCGTACATAAACAGCGATACATGATAATAGGAAAAGCGCTGTTAGATAAAGAAGACGATGCTTCTTGAATGAGTGGATGCAACACAAAAATACGTGCAATCCAAAATCAGTTGTATGAAGAGTGGTTTGAAGACGCATTGATGAATATCGAAGACACCGTCGGGTGCATCGAACGACACGCGCATCAGCACAAGCCACAACAAGTTAGGCGATCCCGATGAAACCGCCGTTATCCGCAGCGAAACATTTGCGAAGCTTCCAGGCACGCGATCAAAATGCCGCCAATTGCGAAGAGATCTCCTGCCAAGGCGGTGGCTGTTTATCTGGCCCGAGCAAAAGCTCCCTCATCTCGATGGGATATCTACGTTAGCGCGGTTCCGCGCAAAGACGAGACTAATTTGTTACCGCGTGGATTTCTTTCCCATGTGAATACCCCTAAATGACCGAACAAGATATAGGAAGTACTTTACGCAGTGACAAACATAAACCCGCCTCGGAGTACACAGTAATACAGTACTATTAAAACGCGCCCTAACCATTGAGCAGACGTGCAGTCCCATCAAGTACTTGTTTGAATGTGCGGTATACGGAATTCCAGTTCTGTTGTCAAAATTATTTATTCATCTCATTTTGTTATCGGCACTGCTCACTTTGGGAAATAATGGCTGGAGGAAAGAAACGTCAGTAGAGCGCCATATCTGGAGCTACTTACACACTTGCCGGCTTTTGAAAATTTGCCCCACATGAACAAAATATATCCTTATAAGATTCTTACTTTTAAACCTTAGTCGATTCGCGTTTGAGGCACACCACTACCGGGTGTCCCAAGTAGCGGCCAGGCTCTTTAAATCGACCGCGAAATTCAGTTTCTTAAACTATCGCGCTACGATTTTGTGCAGCGTTGCCCACAAGTAGTGCATTCTTCCTATAATATTTGGAAAGAGCAAACTTACCGGAGGAAAAAGAAAAAAAAAAAAAACGAAAAAGGCTTAACTATTTATGAAATGCAGCGAAGTTACCGGTCTTCAAACAATAGGGCGCCCTATTGTTTAAAGAGCGGTAGCTTCGCTGCAATTCCATAGGGATTAAGCCTTTTTATTTTTTTACTTTTTTTCAGGTAAGTTTGCTCTTTGCAAATTTTAGAGAAAGAAATGCAGCTCTTATGGGCAACGCTGCACAAAATCGTAGCGCGACAAGCTAAGAAACCGAATTTCGCGGTCAATTTAAAGAGCCTGGCCGCTACTTGGGACACCCAATATATTCGAACGGTCAGTAGATTTTTTCTTTTGTTATTACTGATTGAGCCACTCCTTAGAGAAGCAGCAAAATAAATACACATTGTGACATTAAAGCAAACAACAATACAAACTAAGATCCCTATAAAAAATCGAAGGTCCAAAAAACGCAGCGTGTTGAATTCATGTGTCGCATGTCGTAAGCGAACCGTGGGCTCCTTGGTTGTGGTCTGCCGAGTACGTTATTCTTGTCCTCACATGTGTGGAACAGTAGTAAGATTCATGGGAATCCGTTCAATTCCATCCAACGCTGTTGTTGTTTCTTTTGTTGCTGTTTTTAATTCCGACATATTCACCAAATTCTTTCTTTTTGAACTGCTCACGCAGGAAACGTGACAGAAGTACACGGGGTCCTTGAGCGCGACGCGGCTATCCCCTGCAACGTCAGCGAGGACCCGCGGGACAAGTCGGTGGGGCTCATTCTCTGGTACAAGGACAACTCTTCGACGCCCATCTACACCGTGGACGCCCGGTCGAGCAAGCTGGCCCATGCCAGGCACTTCCCGGGCGAGGACATGGCAGGGAGGCTCCAGTTCGACGCCTCCCAGCAGCCTCCCGTCCTCAGGGTGGACAACCTGGAGACGGGGGACGCCGGACAGTACCGCTGCCGAGTCGACTATCGACAGGCGCGCACGGAGAACCAGGTCACTTCGCTTTATGTCATAGGTAAGCGCTTTGTTGGGTGTACCAACTAGGTCACGCCTGGCTAAAAAGGCTGCGCAAAAAACATGCAAGAGCAAATCAGGAACGACACGAAGAAGGGGACACGGACAAGCGCTCGTCCGTGTCAACTTCGTTCCGTCTGTTTTCGGTGGCATGTTTCTTGAGCATATCGTGCACCAACTCTTTGAGGAAATCAAGTTGGTCTGCTTCTTCGGCAGGGTTTGTGGTGACGTCAGAAGGCTGAGCTTTGATTGGCTCTGATTGATGGAGAGTGGGTATACCTCAGGACAGCTAGTTTTGAGGTCTGCCCACTATGCTTCAATCAGAGCCAATCGGAGCTCGACGTTCTGAAGTCACCGCAAACCCTGCACAAGAAGCAGACGAACTTGCGCTCCGCATACTCTGTTTCTCTTTAAATTAAATCACAGCCATCGCATGGCGCCAACCAAGCAGTGTCAAAAGTGCCTCGTCACTGCGTTCCTCCTCTTTCTGTGTTCGCTATCCTGATTATCATGTACAAACAAACAGAAAACGCCGAATCGAAGCGTATCTACTGTGCGCGATTGGTTTAGTCGGTGATAGAAAAAGCACGACGACGACTAGCTCTGTAATCATGCAACTTTGACACTGTTTGATTGGCTCTATCGGATAGGGGCGTTTGCTACGGTCAAATTTAATATGAAACGGAGTATAGTTCAAAAACACGTCTTGTTAAAGAGCCTGCACTTTTCTTTTATATATACACACTTTGTTAGGCTGTTTTAATATATGTCTTTCTCTCGGGTTATTCTAGCATTTAATGGTAACCCAGAGAAATGTTTTTCTGATCAGTGAGAAATCAGACTCCAAATTGCTCACGCTCGCTCTGGCTGAATAAATAGGGCATTTTTTATTTGCTTCTTTGTGTCCGCATTTTTCGAAAATTTCAGTTAGCCAAAATAAAATTTAGTTTGTTTCTTCATCAATAATCCTTCAATCCCCCCTCGCCCCCGCTTAACAAAAAAAGGCCGTAGTTTATACGGGGGCATTAAGAAATTATTGAATATTCTTCAAGCTCTGGTTCGTTTGCTTTCGGCTTGTTTTTGCGGAGATTCACGACTCTAAGGGGAAAAAAGAATGGCGTGTGAAGAATTGGGTGTAACAAATTAAACAAAACAGGCGTAACATAGTGTAGCTGTAACTCAGGAGAAGAAACGCAGAACCAACATCGTACCCCATCCCCCTTTAATTGAGAGGGAGTTGGCAATTCTAGTTTGAACTTGGGTGATCGCAAAACACAACTGTTTCGTCATCGCCTGCTGCAGATCGAGCTGCCACGCGACGTTTGTGTTCCTTTTTCCCACCTAGCTGATAAATGTGAACGTCATATCCGGGAGGACTACGGTAGTGTAAGAAACAGTTAAGTAGTTACACACTTTACCGGAATATTAAATTTTAAACGAGAGTCAGAACTTCTCTGCCACAGTAACTAAGCCGGGAATATGGGCAAAACGCCCTGTTTTTTTTTTTTTTTTTTGCTTTTTTTAGATGTTCGATTTTTTAGCCTAACAAATCCCGCGCGAAATTGGGGTTTGAAAAAACAAAAACGTACAAAGTAAAAAACAAAACAAAAAACTATTTGCTTGTATTTAAGCCAGAACGCTCGTTTTGACGAAATTCCTTTTCGTTGTGAGTGCCGGAGAGAGAAGGAGAAGTAGAGGGAGAGTGTGGCGCGTGCACCGTTCTCATTGGTCCGAAGCGCTGACGTGGGCACGCGTCAATCGCTCTCTCTTTCCCCGGCTCTGACAAACTCACAGACACCGCCGGGTTTTCATCAGAACGAGCCCTCTCGTTTTCGGCAAAGTCACACGCACAGCTGTCGCGGAGCGAGAGAGGAGGAGGTGCCGCGCTGGTTTTGCTATCATCCTAGATGATAGTGAAACCATAATGCTAAATGTGATGGGTGGTGGTGTAATCGGAGAAGGCCAACGCTGGATTCAGGTTGGAAACGAATGCTCCGTCAGCGCTCGGCTTCGAGTCGACCCTGAGACGAACGTTGACGCAATCATCGTGTTCAACCTGTGCCCAGCGCTGTCCTTCTCTGATGACGCCATCTCATTCAGTATAGCTTTGTTACCTAGAAGTTGTTGCTCCGCGGTGCGGCGGAACGCTTGCATGTTCAGTTGCCGCTCTACCGTCGCGGGTGGTTCTTCGCCCTGGGTTTTCGTAGTAGCGGTGCATGTGCGGTGATTTGTGTGTGTCGTTGAAGCGATGGATGCGGTTCCCTCAACGAGTGATATGAATGCGACTCCTTCCACGAGTGAGATGGGTCTGGTTCTTTCCGCGAGTGATGTGGATGACCATATCCAAGGGATGAAAACAATTAGACTATGATTCATTGGTGTATTCTTAGGGAGCACGTTTTCATGACCCTTGTGAAACGCCATATACGTCCCTTTCCGGGATACGCTAACATTCACCCCGTGACGAAGCCAAAAAGAGGCAGCGAAAAAAGAAATAGGAAGCAAGACAGAAAGACAAAAGAGAAAAGTGAAGGGGTCAGCGTTAGCGATTCTCAACTTGGACGTGTGTTGCGTTATTTCCATTTCCGCGGAGAAGTGGCAAGGTTCTGTCATTTTTAATTCCGCGGAGGAGGGGCAAGGTTTTTATCGTTTTACCAAATCTTAAAATAGTTTCTCTTGGACAGACACCAGAAGATACAAGTCAAGATCAATTCCCAGTTGTGTTTGCAAGAACGAGCTGTGCGACAGACTATACAAATTAAATAATTTTCTTCTCTTTACTCAACAAGAGTTCTCGAGAATGAATGCCAATCTGCAGTTGCTAAACAGCTGTCACATATGACAGCCATCGCCCCAGCTGAAGCGAATCTTCCCAATGCCCAGTTTCGCTTCTGCGTTCATAGCGGACAATCCTCTCCTGACTCGGCTTTTCGCGAGCTTTATTCGGAAAGTTTCCGTAGTTGTATCTTCGCAGTCCTGTTCTTTTCTGCAGCTAGTTCAACATCTCCAGCACGGTCTGCTCCTACTCCTTTTCTTGTTAAAATTGTTTGCGTCATCGCCTTTTTTTAAAATCTATTTCTCTATTTTTGATCCGAGTTTCCTTCATCCGCCTCCTTGTCGCCTTCTGTTTCTTTACGCCCGGGCAAAGTAAAAGGTCAGAAAACCAAACTGGCGAAAGTGTAGCTTCCGGTCTTTCTCAAAAAACAGCTGCCGATGCACAACTGGGCAGCGCATTCCATCTGTTTCTTTATGAACGGCATTCTGCCTCTGTTTCTTAGTCATTTCTTTTTCTAAAGAAAAACGCTCTAAAGAAGCACCAGCCTGCGGGGCGGATGTCGTAAATGGCGAAACGCGGGGACTCGGAATTCCAGACAGCGCGGAGTGGGTTCCGTTTTCGAGTCTAACAAGACCCGTTGGGCAGCGGCGGCTCCTTCGCGCATTCACCGTCCTTTCCCCGACTTGTTATAACTTTTCGGAGCAGAGCCTTACGCTCACAATACTGGAAGTTACGATTGGACACTGCGTATGAATTCTTCACTGAGCTTTAAACAGCGTTGAAGTGGTTGAATCTCACTGATTTACTTTTAAATTATTTTGGTGTTTTATTTATATTTCCTTCGACAGAATCACTAGTGTTCGTGATTTCTCGTTCTCAAGCTGTTTGTGGTCGGTTTTGTTGTTTTTTCTTTTTTTTTCTAGTTCAAAAGTAAGCTGTATGAATTCCTTCTCGATGGTAAAACTGTTGCCGGAAAAGCTGTTTACTTGATACGAGGGGAGGGAAAGGGGGGGGGGGTTCTTTTCTGATCTCTAATCATTGCGCAAGTTTTGCAACAGACCTTTAAGGAAATTGCATTTACTTTTTATGAGACGTGCGCGTTCTGATTTTCCTCGCATTTCGCAGTGGGCTGGCAGTCAAGTGTACTGAATACGTTGCATGGCATTACGTTTTTACTAGTCTCTCTCAACCGTGATGTACTATTGAACGCCATGATAAAACAACCCGAAGGAATAGGAAGACAGTATTTTGATTCAAGGAGATTATTCGGAAAGAAATAAAAAGAAGAAAAATTCGCATTACGGTCTCATTTTTACGAGCTAGCATTCGCCACGACCCCGACGCCAATTTTCAGACGCTGAAATGGGATTCCAATTACATAAAAAGTTCCGTTTACCTGGTTGGGAAGCAACGTACTTGCAGAGATGAACACACGACTGACAGAAAGCAACTGAATGTTGTTACTCGTTACTCGCTCAAAAAGAAACTATGTATGTTACTCGTTACTGAGATGCATAAAGAACTGGTTACTTTGACTCAAAAGTAACGCGCTTAAAGCTACCGCTTTACTTTCTCGCCCTGGATGTCTCATTTTCTGAAAGTAGTAGCCATTTTCGAGTGTTTTGCGTAGTTAATATTGCCTCGCTTTTAACTACGGGTTGATGTCTGCTAGAAGTTTTATCCCGATTAATCGACACCCTTTGATAGGTATTTTAATCGATTAATCGGTTTCGTTTATTCCCTTACATAATACAAAAAGTCAAAAGCAAATGTCTTGCCTTTGTCGAATATGTGATAACCAGCGCAACCTCCAATTTCGCATGTCAAATGAACCTTGATGTGTAGCTCAGAAGAGTCGAACAATACCCACACTCAGAAATTATTACTACAGCCACAAAAGCGAACAGGGATCGTTGATATGCTCCGGCAATAACGATCTCTTTTGATTGTTCACAGTAGTCTCTGCAGCGCTAAACGAATACACGCACAGGGTTGAAATGGCCGAGACACGTATGCGGCAACCTTCTTCACTTCGTCGAAGCTGCGAATCTAGCCACTATACAGATTACTTTAGGTTAAACTTTCCCCTCAAGTTTGCTTTCATACAGGTGTACTCGTCCACGTCTGCGCGGTGAAAGCGTTGAACATCTTACTTTGTCTTTGTTTGTCGAAATTTAACCCATTAAACGGTTAAAAAAGTATTCCCGATTAAAGCATTGATCGATTAATCGGTAAGTTAATCGATTAAATTGCCACCCCTACTCCAACGCGTTCATGACCACGAGTCATTTGCTCCCTTTTGCGTGTTGCCCGCGAATCGGTTGATATTATAGTGACTCTCGCAAGTTACAACTGGTGCCTATATTAAAATCAAATTGTAGTAGTTCGCGATTACTCTTGTTTCATTTATTATTTGATGACTAGGTGAAGAAAAGCTTGAATAAATAATTTAATATGTCAACATGCAGGGTGTTTTGTTTAGGCTTCAGATATTTGTTTTTAGAAACGCCGTGAGCTACACTAGTGCGATCTGTACAGGAGAGTTATACGGCAAGGGGGGCATGGTGTGGGAGGCTAATTGTCACGATAAATTGAATAATTAACCAAAATGTGTTAATTAACCTTTTTGTATAAACAATTTATATATCGTTCCAATCAAATTCTTGCTGAGCGTCATTCAAAGCCTCTATATCAATAATTTTTACAACGAGGTTTAGAGCGTGAAACGCGCAGTAGAGCGGCACAATCTGCACTCGTGCAACAGGCACGAGGCTAGCGGTGAGAGAATGCCGGTGAAACTCGGAAAAACCGCTCGGGCGCATTATCGTGCCTGTAGCCTTGCGCCTGCTACACGGGTGGTAAATTTAGCGTTCCACTGTGCTTCCCACAAGTTCTGTCTTTTTAATATTGAATGTTTAAGTGGGTTTGAATGTAGCTCACGAAGTTTCGTATTAGAGCCATATGTTTATTTTACTGACTTTAAGCTACTTAACATATTTTAGTTAATTATCTGACTTCATGTGCCGATTAACCCCATTACGTCCCCCTGGTCGTAAAACTCACTGGCACAAAGTTCATTACTGTAGTTTTCACGGACTTTTAGAGCGCAGCTCTTAGGCAGCAGTTTCCGGCTTGAGCGGCGTCGGCTCTCTCCCCCCCCCCCCCCCGGAGGACCTCGGGAAAAGGGGGGGGGGGGGTCACGTGACCCCCTCCCCAAGGAAGCTTGGCCGGCTTCGAACCAGAGACCTTTCGCCAAAATTTTAAATTAAAATATTACTTAATGAATTAGGAAGGGGAGGAGGAAAGAGGAGGAGGAGACGAGGGGAGAAGGTTGAAGGATGAGGGCAGCAGGATGATGTGAAGGAGAAGGACGGGGAGGAGGAGGAGGAGGGGCATACCCTCCCCTCAGTACCCTTCCCTCCTCCTCCTCAAGAGCTGTGTTCTAATTCGGCGTTACAGAGAGTTGTGAACGGCTTTGACTCTTTTTTAAACCAATCTGCAAAACGTAAAAATACACTTTATAATCATAGAGCCTCGAAATATATTCTGATGATTTACGCCCATATAATGTCGTTATTTTACCTTTTCCAGTTCCGCCACAAGAACTCATCATTCTCGATGAATATGGACAGCGGATTGTGGATGTGTTGGGACCTTACAACGAGGGATCGTACATTTTTCTTGTGTGTGAAGTCGAAGGAGGTGAGTACTGAACGTGCTTCTTACATTTTTAGTACTGTGTATAGTTGACGCAAGCGCACCTGGAGAGATAATAGAGAGTTTTAAAATAGGGGCCCCCGACGCTTTGGGTCAGACGAGCAACTTGAGACGTCGCATTGCGCAAGCGCAGTGTGGCGCTCCAAGCATCTTGGGGTGCCCAAAGTGCTGGAGCCCAATTACAAAACTGTATAATAAAATGTTTTAGAGCACGGCTCTTAGGTGCTCGTTTCCGGCTTGAGCGGTGACGCCGTCGCCGCCGGTGTAACCGCCCGTTGCGTTAGGGGACGTTTCCCATAATGACGTCACACGTGACGTGACGTGTGACGTCACGAGGGTCATTTGAGTCACGAGTGACGTCACGAAGGTCACTCGCGAAGGTTACGATGAAGGTCGCGATCTTCACAGTGACCTTCACGAAGCCTTCACGAAGGTCACTCGCGAAGGTCCCGACGAAGGTCATGACATTCACAGTGACCTTCATAAGAGCTTCACGAGTGGTGTCACGAGAGTCACGTGTGACGTCATGAGGGTGGAGAAGGGGCATACCCTCCTTTGCGTACCCTGCACTTCTCCTTCTTAATAACTGCGCTCTAATTCGGCATTAAAGGGAATGTAAACTTTTTCATACTTTTTTCTTTAAATCGTCGCGAGAAATAACTTCTTCCTTTCAACATTCTTCCTCAATTCGCATTTGTGCGTAAAAAATTCAGTAAGATGAAGTTGATAAAAATCACACTTTCAAGTATCACCAACCATTGTTGTGGAACCATGCAAGACACGTGCCACCATTCGCTTCCAAGGGTCGCTCGAATCACGGGTCTCGTACTGGAGCATTCGACGCTACTTGCAAGACAAACGCACACACACACATATATATATATATATATATGTGTTTCGGCCGGACGTTTCGGCCGGACTCCGGCCGAAACGTCGAAGATTAAATCGTCCGTTGTTGCTGTTTTTCACTAAGGGTTTTTTTCTTCTCAGTTTTTCTTCTCAGTTTTATATATATATATATATATATATATATATATATATTGGTGCGTTTATGTTTATACAGCCAGAAGTTAGTCTGCCTGAATGTTCGACCTGTCTCCCAGCAGTTGTGTATTAATTTAGCCAGTGAAGTACAACCGCTACTCTGGGGTCTTTACCGTGTACCATACAGCAGTGATACACGAGCACACGCCGGTACGATGCTCATCCAGATCGACCCGGGCGGGGGTGGGGATTGAACACATGATCCCTGGGTACTGCTGCGCGAGCTTTGGCTCCACGTGCTGCGAGCTGGTGTGCGCTAGACCACTCGACTATCGATTCCCCTGACAAATACAAACACACCAAAATCGGGTTGTGTGTGTGTTTATACAGCCTAGAACTTGGTCTGCCTCACAGGGGCGACGAGTCTCCCAGCTGTAGATGAGCAATTTAGCCAGTGCGGTACAGCCGCTAGCCTGGGGTCTTTAACGTGCATCACGCAGTAGTGACACACGACCGCACGCCGGTACGATGCTCATCCAGATCGAAACGGGCAGGGGTGGGGCTCGAACCCAGGATCTCTGGGTTCTGCAGCGCGAGCTTTCGCTCCACGTGCTTCGAGCTGGTGTGCGCTAGACCACTCGGCCACCGATCCCCCCCAAACACACCACTTTGTTCCGTGACTGTGTAGTCAAAGCCATTGTGCCTTTATGTGCGCTTTGCTTATGGTGGTGGCATCTGGCCATTTGGTTCCTCACGTTTATTTTTTATTTTTAGATGCGGAGCATCTCTTGGTCGGGTCTATGTCCCGCGGCGTCGTAGTCCGTACTCATACTACGCATGCGCAACTCTTTTCCTTCCCTCTCTCCAACAGCTGCGCGTTGCGTGTTGGTTACTCTCTCCGCTCTTTCTCTCTACCAGCTGCGTGCACTTCGCGTGCGTTCGCTTCTACTCACACCGCGCGCGCATGCGCAACTCTCCTCCTCTAGTCTTCTCTCCTTCAAGTGTGAATATAAGCAGCGGTAGCGCGCTGCGCGCGTTCAGTTCACCCGCTGTTGACTCCACTTCACTCCGTTCTTCCGATGAAGTGTGATGGAAGCAACAGTCCCGTCAGTTAGTAGGTTGGCGCAAGCAAGCGTCAGCACCACCCCACAAACTAACAGCAACGCTACGTCCACTGAAGACAAAGCTGCGCAGCGAAGGGCACGCGACGCTGAGCGCAAGCGCTTGAAGCGAGCAGCAGACCCTGAACTACGGCAACGAGAAGCGGCGTCCATTCGTCAACGTCAAGCGGCGGATGCTGAACTACGACAACGTGAAGCAGCGGCGGTTCGAGAACGTCGAGCAGCAGAAACTGAGGTTCGGGACCGTGAAGTTCAACGTAAACTTACGAAGCAAGCGGCGGAACCCGACCTTCGAGAACGGGAAGCCGCGTTGGTTCGTGAACGTCGAGCAGCAGAACCTGAGGTTCGGGGCCGTGAAGTTCAAGAACGTTACTAACACCGTTAATAACGATCCGCGATGCTCCGCATCACCCCATGGTTCCCCTCGGGAAGATGGTGTAATTTTTTGTTCAGAAGCGCGTGAAAGAGCGTTTCCCTGCACGCGTTTGTACCTGTGACTGTGCTATGGCGACATTATGTTTTCGTCGATTTCTTTGTATTTTCTCAGTGAGCTCGTGCTGTCGGCATCGGGTACTACAAGGGGTGGCATAACCCTAAACAGAGGGACCATGAGGCACCCTAGTCAAATCTACTGGCTCAGGTGCAATTGAGCATATTGAGTGCCCATCAGAGTTGTGCACATGTACTCTTCACTTCTGAGATATGTGTTCGAGAGTACTAGCACCGAGATATTTTGGTGGCACCCTCCTATGGCTCTTTCACGTGACGTCATTACCTTGCGAACCACATGTTCGATGGTATTTCTAATTGACATGATGGAAGCTTAAAATTGTTGTCAGCAACACTGACAACATCGTCGAAATTGAAGTTCTTACATTCCTCTTGTGTCCGTCGATGATAAATCCTGGTCTGACTTCATGGTCAGCATTTGGCCAATCGTGGCAGGTCGATCACAGCAACGCTTTTTATTGCGCACGCTGCCAGTAGTGTGGTAAGTTTGTTTGAGGGTAACTTCAATTAAGAATAACTTAACTGCTGCTAAGAGCGCCCGTGCAACAAAAGTATAACTAGTTTAATATAGCGTTGGAGATCCTTTTTTTTTTCTCGCTTTCTTGATTAGTAGCTTTTTCACTCAAGCTGGTTGCAGTTGCTTAGAAAGCGAATTCACTAGCCAGCTTAGAGCACATGGAGCGAAAGCTCGCGCTGCAGAACCCAGTGATTCTGGGTTCTATCCCCACCCTTGCCCGTTTCGATCTGGATGAGCATCGTACCGGCGTGCGGTCGTGTATCACTACTGCGTGGTACAAGTTAAAGACCAAGGCGTAAAGTCACAGTGCAGTGGCTTAATTTCTCATCTACATATCGCAATTTCTGGCAGATTGAACTCCTGTTGTCTAAGCAACTAACGAGTGATTTTATTTTTCGGGTTGCCCTTGGGCCGTCTGGTTCCGTCGTTATGCAGAAAATGTTAAAATCAATCGGAGAGGTTTACTAACAATATTAATGCTTGATTTAGGTTTGACCATTGTTAAATACACGCTTCCAAAACTCACGTGCCGATTGTTAGGAGTTCTCTACCACTGCATTTTGGCGGAGAGACTGCCACCGTGGAAAGTGAAATTATAGTACTACATAAGGTGGATACGAAGGGGAATTAATAAAATTTGCGGAGTTTCAAATATGACGGTGTCTTCTGCATCCTCCATTTTTCAGGCATTCCATCTATTCCAATATAAAGCGCACTTCCGAAAGTGGTTTATAAACCGATATCCTCCCCGTATCCACGGCATCGATAGTACATAATGGTCCCGGTGAAAACTTTTATCACTCACTGAGCAGCAACGCATACAGTTGTGGCCACCATTGAACACTCTCCGGTTATTAAGTAAGACTTCACGCTCAGCTAGAAAGGCAAAATCATAAAAAAAACCTGGACTTGGAGACAGGATTGCGTCAAAGTTTCTGTGCGACGTTATTAAAGCTTGCGTATAGTTTCAGCAGCGCTCTGACTTTGCCAAGGCTCTTTGCACAAGTGCGGTACCTCAATTGATGGCTTCTTAGGGCAACTGTACGTGCGAATAAGAAGCAAGATACGCTCGTGCAGCAGCTCGAGGCTGTAGCACGAGAACGGGTGCTACAGCCTCGAGTTGAGAATGAGACAAAATTCAATGAGATGAACTTGTGTCTGAAAATGAATACAAAAAAGATACCACACAAACTTCGACGGAAACGAAAGCGAGAAATGGTCAGCATCAGCGTGCTACGGCTGTTCACATACTATACACGTCATGTTCAGAAAGGTAATACACCATGACACACGATAACTGCCGCAACTGGATTGGAACTTTCAACACGAGCAACGATTGGTAAAATATACTAGAACATATGCCGGAAAAATGGAAATTCCTTACCCCCCTCCACGTGGCAGACGCATGCACTGCGGGCTGTGCCACGGACGCGGAATGGGAACATTCAATCGGGCCATGGTAAGCCAGGGGCTGCACGCGACTGAGATGTAGCCGGCTCCGCTTATGAGAGAGAGGATGAGGAGGGGGGGGGGGGGGGGGGGGGGGCAGGGACAGTTGTTGTTGCCGTGCCAATTTCGACCGGTCGATTCGGCACAATATGTTGGCTGTCCCCGACGGCTGGTGCCAGGGACAAATAGCATAGGGGGAATCGAGAATGAGTTATGTTTCAGGTTATATTTCGTGCAATCGTACGTAACTTGCAAAAGGGTATGGGTGGGATAGCAGCATAGGCAACGAGCAACCAGCTGTTTCTCATAGTTTTTACGTGAATAAGGCTCCCCAACAACTTACCTCAAAGGGATCAGCGAAACCTTTCTGGGACAGAGTTTGCGTTTAAACCTAGTTGCGTACT